TGGGCGTTTTGTCGACACTTGCGTTCAACGTCGCAAATGGCGGATCGCCGGGTCTTCTCTATGGACTCTGGTTCGTCTTCATCATGTACGGCTTTGTCATATATACGTTGGCAGAGTTAGCCAGTGTTTATCCTTCAGCGGGTGGTCAGTAAGTTTTGTCGTCCTTGCAACTTTCGGTCCAGATACAGCACTGAAAACTTGAACAGGTACCATTGGACAGCGGTTGTGGCTCCGAAGTGGTGCGCTCGTGCTACGGTAAGAGGAGCCCTCTGACAAATGTTTTTGTCTGGAGTTTGATTCGAAATACTGACATGATATGCTTTAGAGCTACGCATGCGGTATGATCAACATATTTGCCTGGGCAGCGCTTTCTGCCGGCGTAGCCATCATCCTTCCGCAACAATTACTAGCTCTCGTTATCACGTACAACCCCTCTTATGAGGTCGAGCGGTGGCACGTATTTCTAATCTACCAGTTTGTATGCGTGATATGCCTACTACACAACATATTCAGCCTCCGAAAAACCATGTGGCTGTTTGAAGTCATTTGTAAGTATTCCGAATAATATGTACGAGATTACCATGGCACTGACTCTACACGATGTAGTTGCGTTATCGCTCGCCGCCTTCATAGCCGCCACAGTCACTTCATTGGCACGAGCCCCCCATTTCCAATCGAGTAAAGCCGTTTGGGTTACATTCGTTGATCTGAGCGGTTGGGACAACAAAGGACTAGTCTTTTTTATTGGGCTTCTTACTCCAGGTTACATGTATGCTGGAATAGATGGAGCCATCCATCTAGCAGAGGAAGCTCGTAATGCTCGAACAGCCGTCCCCAAAGCCCTTGTGTCGATCTGGGGTATAGGATTCGTTACATCCTTCATAGTGGCGGTTGCATCCATGTATGCCGTCCAAGACTTCACCGCAGTTGCAACAACAAAGACTGGGTAAGGCGTCACATCAAGCTGAAGAGACATGAATCTTACTAATATTTTGCCCAGCTTCCCTGTTTTCGAACTTTGGCGCCAGGCAATGAAATCTGAGGCTGCAGCAACTGCTTTCTTGGTCTTCACACATGCGGCTGGATACATGGCCGTCTCAGGGTGTCAGCAAACTGCATCGCGCCTGACCTGGTCATTTGCCCGCGACTCTGGCTTGATTGCCTCCTCGAAGATCTCCCTCATAGCCGAACAATGGCAGGTTCCCATATGGGCTCTCTGTGCAAATGGGATAATGACATTCCTTATTGGATGTGTCTACCTCGGATCTTCAACGGCCTTCAACGCATTTATCGGCACAGGCCTGATCCTCCAGCTTGTCACATTCGCATTTCCTGCAGCGCTATTGTTGTTGACAGGTCGACCAAAACGCTTCTTACCGCCCAACCGCACCTTTGGACTGCCGAGTGCTTTTGGCTGGGTCGCAAACGTCCTCACCATTGCCTTTGCTCTTTTCTGCCTCGTTTTTTACTGCTTTCCCCCGGCCAGACCAGTGACCGCGTCGAACATGAGTGAGTTTGATAATTCTGGTCTTTATATGAATTGGACATTTCTGACATGCTTAGATTACGCGCCAGCTGTTCTTGCAGTAATAGGCATCTTTATTGTTGCAAACTGGTTCCTGCATGCAAGGAAACACTATCAAGGGCCACAGCTGGAAGATTTGGTTGCATTGTAGTTCGACGGAGTGCTGTGGCCTCGTTTACTTGAAATGATATCTAAGTTTTGATCCTGCGAGGACAATTGTGATTTCTATGAATGTTGAACTATGGATTTGCTACTAGCCCCATGTGTGAATGTGACATATATGTAACAAGAGACTTGTAGATACGTTCATTAAGTGATGAAAAATATCCCCTTCTGCCATTCTTCTTACTCACATGACAGAGCCTTCAGAATGCCCCTTCTCCATTTCAGCCATGGGTGCGGTTTCAATTAGTGAAGAACAATACGCTACTAGTCTTTCTAGAGCAAAATCCCTGGGCGAGCTGCCGACAAAAGTTACCGATCAGAGCTGCCAAACAAAGCCCCGCGCTTAAGAAGCATCCGTGTGATGTGCAGTCCCACTTCGGATGCATCAAGCAGGCCATTCTAACCTTCTTTACTCGAACTTTTTATTTCCCTTTCGCGTCTAGCGTACCAGATTGTTATTTCTCAGAGAAGAATGGCAGGCCACACCCTAATCTGCTAGTATCGGGTATCAAAAAGAACTCCCTTAGTCTTTATAAAGATCCATGAGGTCTTTTTCCTGAGCCGACACTGAAGCCCTCGACCTGTGATCAGCACCTCAAGTCACCATGTCAGTACACCCCACCAACCTCCCCACCCCACTCCTCTCTAACCTCAAACCCCCCATAGGTATACAACCTCCTTCGCTTTCTTTGAAGCCCTAATTGAAGCCGGGGTAAAGAACTGCTTCGTAAGCCTCGGTTCCGACCACCCCAGCATCCTCGAAGCCATTGTCAAGGGCCAGGTGGAGCTCCCAGACAAATTCCCAAAGATAATAACATGTCCGAACGAAATGGTCGCGCTATCCATGGCAGACGGCTACGCCCGTCTAAGTGGCGAAGCGCAGTGCGTAATCGTACATGTGGACGTTGGTACGCTGGCGCTCGCAGCTGCTGTGCACAACGCAGCCATGGGGCGGGCGCCTGTGTTGATATTTGCGGGGTTATCGCCGTATACGATTGAAGGGGAGGTGCTGGGGTCGAGAACGGAGTTCATGTGAGTTTCTTCTCCCCTACTTCACTTCTTCAACGACTGTTGTTGGCAATGGATATGGGCTAACGGGGTAAAAAAAAAATAGTCATTGGATACAAGACGTACCTGACCAAAAGCAAATCGTAGCACAGTACTGTCGGTACGTGGGCGAGATCAAAACAGGCAAAAACGTAAAGCAGATGGTGCGGCGGGCGCTGCAGCTTGCGACTAGCCATCCACAGGGACCTGCGTATCTGATGGGAGCAAGGGAGGTCATGGAGGAAACTATCGAACCCTATAGCATCAACTCAGCAGTCTGGAAGCCGATTGCGCCAGCGGCTCTACCGCAGGATGCTGTGCGAGAGATCGCTGAGGCCCTTGTGAGCGCATCTGATCCCCTCGTCATCGTCGGTTTCACTGGGCGTAACCACGCTGCGGTGCAATCCTTAGTGTCCCTAGCCAACACCCTACGTGGCCTTCGCGTGCTCGATACAGGGTGCTCCGATATGTGTTTTCCGGCGGACCACCCAGGGTGGCTGGGGATGAAATACGGCGTGGACTCCGTAATCGAGAACGCCGATGTCTTCCTTATACTCGACTGCGACGTTCCCTGGATCAACAAGCTGTGCAAACCCAAGGCCTCGGCAAAGGTGTTCCATCTCGATGTTGATCCGTTGAAGGAGTCTATGCTGGTGTTCTACATCGATGCGCAGCAGCGGTATCGCGTGGATACGCAAGTCGCTCTCGAGCAGATTACAGAGTACCTGCGTGGTCCGCTGGCCAAGGAGCTCGCAACTGGAGATGTCGAGCGCAGGGCTGAGACGCTCGTGAAGTCGTACAATGAACGCATTCGCATGCTTGATGAGCGGGCGAAGCCCTCGGGCGATGGGAGTCTCACAACTGATTACATCTGCTCCACTGTACGGCAAAAGTTGCCTCAAGACACCATCTTCGCGGTAGAGGCAATCACAAATACTATCGCAGTTGCTGATCAAATCCGAGCCACGCTTCCAGGTCAGTGGATTCACTGCGGAGGCGGAGGCCTTGGGTGGAGCGGCGGCGGCGCGTTAGGTGTCAAGCTCGCAGCAGACGCAGCAGATGCCTTGGTCCCCGGGAAGCGGAAGAGATTTGTAGTGCAGATCGTGGGCGACGGGTCATACATGTTCAGTGTTCCCTCGAGCGTGTACTGGATCTCGGCGCGCTACAAAATCCCCGTTCTGACGATTGTTCTCAACAATCTGGGCTGGAACGCGCCACGGAGATCTATGCTGCTAGTGCATCCTGATGGTCCTGCATCGAGAGCCACCAAGGAGGAGCTGAATATTTCCTTCGCCCCGAGTCCAGACTATGCGGGCATAGCGAGGGCGGCAAGTAACGGAGAGATATTTGGCGCCCGCGTGGTCAACGTATCTGAATTTGAGGCAGCACTGAATGAGGCGGTGGAGAGTCTTGAGCGAGGTGTCTCAGCGGTGCTGGATGTTGCAATATAAATAGGCAGAGGCTTTCTGAAAAACGCCGTTGGAATAGGTCACTAGTTGTGTAGTACCCCTTTGTATAGTAGTAGATATGGGTACAATTGATTTTGCCTGGATTCATGAGCTACGAAAATCCAGCAATACGTATAATCTTTGCATAACAGTTCTACCACAAAGTATTCGAGCCAGATACATAGTAAAATTTAGAAAAACATAACAGACTACCTAGCTCTACAGGAATTCCGGCTATGTCCTTGAAGTAACCACCTTAGCCACGCGCAACGAGCAGAGCGTCTACCATCCGTCATACATTCATGACACAGGGTTTCAAACTACGTCAATCTACTTATCTCTGGGATCCACTTGTGCGAGAGGATTTCCCCCGATAAGGCAATATTGTGTATCTTTGGCTAGGCGGAAAGTTTCCGCCTGCCCGCGCGGTGTCTTGGGGCCGTTCCCAATTCCGCGCTACACGTCTCCACTTTGCCGCAATCTACGGAGCCAGAGCCGCTGCACCGTATGTAGATTGGCGAATCTGCAAGCCGGTGTGGGGATACTGCTAACTACATGCGGAGCGTCTATCCTGTCGGCTTTACGTATCGGTTGATAATGCAGTACAGGGCTGAGCATTTCCTAGATTCGCTGATGCACACACACAGAGATGAGCGGGAGGTAGGTTGTAGTAGTCGTGTGACTGCCCCTTCAAATATGCCTATCTAGTATCTATATTGATTCAAATATTTATGGTAATAATACAAAGAGGATCCCATCGCTGCTCCGATGCTGACCTGGGCCCAATGATATGCGGGCTGACAAAGACTTCCCACCTACCCAAACAACGTTTCAAGTCGTCCTTCAGTCATAACATCCATCCAGTGGACCATATTCCTTGATGTACATGTGTCGGAATTGGCCGCCTTGTCTGCTTGCTGCCAGACTGCTTCCAAGATTGCGCTTATCCGTTTCACGGGGGCTACGCTGACGCGAGAGTGCAATCGCTCGACGCGCCATGATACTTGATCCCGCCACATTTGTAGGGTAGCAGGACGGTGCATCAAAGCAGCTATTTGGCCACGGAGCCCATCAAGGCTATTGGCGCTGAGGTCGTAACCCTGATGGATGTTCCTTGGAGTGCTTTCGGCAGACTGTAGTGCGCTACCTGCGGAGAGAAGGGGGATGGATGTCATGTTGTTCGCACCAGATGGTTCGGGTAGGTCGGACGCGATAGTCAGTATTGCGATGGCGAGGTCTAGGCTTGTTTGCCTCACTTGGCGTGTGGGTGCATCACCTATGATGACTTCGGGAAAACTTTGTATGAGCTCCAACAGAATTACCAGGCGGAGCATCGCGTCCACGGCGAACAGATGGGGGAGAGGCGTGTTTAAATCCTGAGTGTCATCCACAGATGTTACCAAAGGAGGTTGATGAGCTAGGACGAGCATGTACAGTTCCCTGACTCTTTTGGAAAGTTGCAAATCAAAATTAGACCCCCGTTCTTCCCGAGACATCAAATTCCGCTTTTGCCTAACAAGTGCAAGGCTTTCAGCAAGATAGACAAACAACGGAGTACTGATACCTGTGAAGGGATGGGGATATACCCTTTGTTCTTGGACAAGCGTGGTAAAACGGAGCAAGTATTGCAGTGATTCAACAGGCTGATCGATAATGATGGACAGCAGGCATTCCTGGTGCACCATGGCGCCTATGATGAAAGATTGTTCACGATCCAGTGCGACAGGCTTTTTTGACGTATCGTGGACTCCTTCGTCGGACAACCATGCCTGGAAAAGCAGTCTTGCGCCATGATGATGGGTCAAACCAATTGCAGAAGCATCAATCCAAGCCTTGAAATATGTTAGTCTTGAAAGGTTGCCATGTACTTGAAATTATGGTTTCTTCTTACCGCGCTGTTTGCAAGTAGCAGGGCGACCAATAGCGCTTGATATCGTGCGAATGCGGCCGATATGCGTGACAGGCCATTATCGCTACTTTTGTGGTGACTTGGAAATTGTAGCGTTTGAAGAGCAGACATGAGCCCTCGTATTGCTTTGGTTTGGTATCGTAACGTGACATTGTCCATGTCGCGAATCGAATTGGCCAGGTGTGCTGCGGACAGAGCTTTGATGCAGTCGTTCAGATATTCGCAGGTGAGCATTATCCGTGGTATGTCTTTGCGAAAAGGGTTTTGACGAGAGTCGAAGCACGACACTATCTGACAGGTGTTATCAAAATAGTGCACCGTCAAGTTGTTCTCGGTTTCGGCATCTATCCAGATGTTGCGCTGCCACGATGTACTCGCCAAGACTAGATTGTCGGAATCGACACATTGCTGGCCAACTTGTGCTGCCGCAGCGTCTATATGGAAGTCCGGGTCGTCAGCAGATTGCTGCTCGGTGCCACACAGCCAAGTATCGCTAGATGTTAGCCCAAGCGCAGATTCGATAGCATCAAGCACCAGAGTCGGGTGCTGATTTCCTCCACCATCTATCCTCGTGTCTGGAGAGGCTGGTGTGGAAGGCGACATATCTTCAAAAAGCTCATACGCGCTGGACGCTGCCATGTGAGGGGAAGAAGAGTCATCTGATGATAGGATTTGCACAGGGGAATCAATATCGGCCTGATGTAAATAGTCACTGCACATTGTGGAACTCTGCGGAGAGACGGGTTGTTGCAACACACGAGTATCCAGCGGGGATGCGGGTGAAGCGACGTTGGTCTCATGCCGTCGCTTGCCCTCCTTGACGGCAGCGGAGCGCGATTCAAGGGTGCTTATCTGAGGACTAGTGGCATTTGCGACGGGCGGAGAATGCAATGAGGCCTGGTCATGGCCGAAAGGGCTGTCATGGGCGTTGGCGTGCATGGTAGGCTTCTGTCGCCAACTTTGGTCGAAGATCATGGGCTGTGAGGTAAACGGATCCGGGCTCAGGGGTCCAGCGGTCGCTTTCATAAAGCCTTCCAAGGGGCCAGACGATAAGTGCTGTATGGTCGACGACTTGCGCGGGTGCTTGCGGACAGCTCCCGAAGTGAGGGACGCTGTCTTCCATCGCAATTGGCGAGCGAAGCCGGGGCACTGAACATTGCGCCCTTGACAGTTCCGACAGTGAGGCCGGGTCTCATCGCATTTGATGCGCTGTGAGGGTTTGAATATCAGCTTTTCTGTGCACAAGACAAAACCGGACGGCGGTGATGATTTACTTTTTGCCGGCAGGCTCCGCAGCCATCTGCAGGGCGGCAGTTAGTTGCGGCGTCGCACCCCGGGCGTCATGACGTACGTACCTCTGCTCCGAGCGTGTTTGAACATATGTAGCAGTCAAGATGCGATGTGGCAGGTCTCTACCCTCGCCATACGAAAGTGCATGGTGGGTGTTGAGGAAAGAGTATAGTACGTAACTAGGTAAACAATTCACGGGGGCTTTGAAGATGGGTCTGATAAGGCCTGATAGGTGGATAGATCCCCGCACACGTGACGGGGTGCCAGCGGAGTCTAATGTCGGCACTCTGCTACCGAATTGGGACGGAATGAGACATGTGTTGTATCCATGGACAGTTGGGACACGAGCAAGTTGAGAATTCTGGCTCAGCAGTACACCACGTCTGCAATCGTATTCTACCCGGCCAGTCAGCGTTGGTTGGACCTAGAAATCCCCAGTATAAGCAGAATCACGCCAACTATAGTAGCCAGTACTATCTACTACTACTACTATAGCTCTCGAGATTGCTACCGACTCACATCGCAGACCAAAAAAAACTTTATAACACCAGGAACGAGTCCTGATTGGTACAGAGCTCTTTCATTCCGATGTAAACAAGAATCCTCCGCTGTCTTCAGTGCCCGACTGGCATATCTTCCAGCGGATGGTCAAAGACCTTGCCCGGATTCATGATCCAGAGTGGATCCAACGACTCCTTCACCTTCTGCATCATGGCAATTCCGCCCGCGCCCAGCTCCGCTTTCAAGAAACCTTTCTTGCCGATACCGATGCCATGTTCGCCCGTGCATGTGCCTTCCATCTCCAGCGCGCGCGCAACCATGCGTTGGGCGCATCCTGCCACCCGCGCTCGCTGCTCCGCATTGCGCCCATCGAACAAGATGGCCGCATGAAAGTTGCCATCGCCAATATGGCCAACGATGCCAGCAAACAGCCCCAGTGCCGCCACCTCTTTTTTGCTCATGTCAATGAGCTCAGGAAGCCGTGAAATGGGCACCGCCACATCCGTCGTCCACACCTCCTCGTCCCCCTCACGCAGCGACAGCATCGACCACAGTGCCTGCTTGCGCGCCGCCCAGAGGCTCGCCTGCTCCTCGGCTGTCGAGGCGAACTGCAGCGTGCCTCCGCCATTGCTAGTTGCGATCTTGCTAAACTGGCGCGTCGTCTCCGCGATCTGGCCCGAGCTGCCAATAAACTTGACCAGCATTGTGGGCATCACCTCCCACTTCCTGTCCGTCCCTCCGGCGCGGTTGACCACATCCATTTGTACCTCATCCATAATCTCCATGGCTCCCATCTGGATACCTGCACGAAGGATTGCTGTGGCGGCATTGCTGGCGTCGCGCACCGAGGGAAACGTGGCAAGGCCCACCTTGGTCTCTGCTGGAATCGCGGCCAGCTTGAGCGTGGCCTCTGTGATGATGCCGAGCGTGCCTTCGCTCCCAACGAAGAAACTGGTCAGGTTGTAGCCCGCAGCAGTCTTTCGCGGCCTGTGTCGCGTCTTGATTATTGAGCCATCCGCCAACACAACAGTCAGGTTGATGACGTTGTCCTTCATTGTGCCATAGCGGACCGCGTTTGTACCCGAGCAGCTTGTGCCCACCATCCCTCCGATCATCGCGTTGGGCCCAGGATCTACGGGGAAGAAAAGACCACTTGATTTAAGCTGCCGATTTAACTCCATCCACCCGATCCCTGGCTGTACCACAACGTCCATATCGCGTTCATGAAGGGCCACTATCTTGTCCATGTTGGCGAAATCGATGCAAATACCCCCGTACGGGGCAGAGAAGTTGCCTTCAACAGAAGACCCGCCAGAGTAGGGAACTATACACATTGTTGCAAGTCAGAGCAGCTTCTTCCACTTGTGCAATCGAGCACTTTGATGTGCCTTACCTATCGGAATCTTGAAGCGTGCGCAAACTTTTGCAATCTTCGACACCTGGTCAGTCGACTTTGGGTACGCAATTGCAACGGGCATGCGCTCAATGTTGATCGTAGACCATTCAGAATAGCCATGCCTTCGCAGTTCGTCATCATCAGTAGTAATAGCATCACTTCCCAATTCGTTTTCCAACTCTGCGATAGCCTTGATTCTCAATATGTTTCTGTGAGCGCCTTTTTGATATTTTGACGCACCTTTTCCAACTCAGCTCGACTCGCATACAGAGGTTTTTGCTTTGTAACCGTCGCCTGTTGTGATGCTGCCCCCGCTATGGGCCGTGATTGAGAACCGGCGTAGAAAGCCGTGCTTGCCAACGCGAGAAGCGCAATGAAGTATATGCCAACCCTCGGTGACTTTCGGGAGATATGCGGTGAAACAACGTGCTGGCTATACAATCGGCAGTTTCGTAGCGTGGGTGCCGGAAATATCTGGGCTAAGCGTAGAAGCCGCTTCATAGTTTTTACTGAAAGAAAGAAAGAAAGAAAGAAGAAGCGCTGACAGACAAGGAGCATGTGGTAAGAGAGTACTAATAGGACGAGAAACTCAAGAGGACGACGACATATGATAATCCAAGCAAATAGACGCGCCATTACACTTACCTATGCTACGCAATACTAGACCAACAAGGTATGTCTACACTTACCAAATTTACAATCTACTAGGCTATTTTTACCGAATGCGGGGTAGTACCAGATATTACCGTATGTTGGAGCCGTTGAAGCCCAGTAGAATAACCGATGCTCTAACATAGCGTGTCTGTGCGCAGAATCACAGGCAGTAAGCATGGTACGGGAAAACTTTCCACAGGGTCGGAACTAAGTACAGAGAGGTATACAAATGATGCAAATACCCCACAACGCAGGGACCATGAGAGAAGTAAGCCCCCGCATAAGAACTTGCTCTAGCTGCAATAAAGCTAGCATATGAAAAAAAAATATGACGTCTTACAAGGCAAGAAAAAGAACTCAAATGAACAAACTGTAACTTAACAAACTACCGTAAGTCAAGAAGGGATGATCCAAGCCAGACAAATATCGTCCTTGAGGAGAAGACATTACTAGATAGTGGCTTCAAACTAGTCGTGGAAATGCTTGCACATATTAAATGCACAAGCCCCTTCACTTCGACTTGCAAAGCAATCTTCCCCAGTATGCTGATAACCTTAACAATATTGCAACGTTTCATCATTAGGCTACTTGTACGGTCCTAATACAACACAAACGCTAGAACTCTAGTAAGGGTATACAGATAATCAAGTTGCTCACAGGACGAGTCGCTAGCGAGCCTAGCTAAAGCTACGTACGTAGAACGTAGCGCGTACAGTATCCCAGCACCATCACCACAACACCACAGCTACAGGAACCACGAGGACTATATAATATCCCTTTCTCTTACCTCCTTCAGATCAGAACTGTAGACTCCACTCTCATCCTACTCAAGCCCGCCATGACAGCACGTGGAGGCGGATTCGTTGGCAGAGGGGGCATGGGCGCACGAGGCCGCATCCAACGTATAAAGACACACGTCCTCCCATTCACAGACCACACGGGAAAGGAGGCATTGATAGTTTTCGAAGGCAGAGAAACATGTCCGCTTCCACCACTCTACAGTTTCGCCATGTACTTTACGCACAAAGACGTGAATGCAGAAAATGTCCAGCCAAACGAGCTCCTATCTGCCATCAGATGCGGCACCCCGCTGGAAAGCTACCCCTATCCCTTTCGTCTAGAGATATACTTTCTCCCTGCTCCAAGTGAAGACTCTGCATCCGACTCAGCCTGCATCACTCATTATCGCGAGGAGAAGCGCAGCCGGGGCGACTACGTACGCCAAATCGAAGCAGTCGAGGCTTCAGGCAGCACTGGTACTGGAGGGCTCCCTGGCTTCGTGCCAAGCTACATCGACGACCCCTACGGCAACTTTCACCATGGCCGTCTGTTCAACTACCAAGGTCCCAACTGGCGCACGGATAAGCAGCCTGTTCGCCGCGTTTTCTTCGACCCTATTCCGCAGGAAGAGTATGCTCTGATCGCGGAAGAGGCGGGGGAACCGGCAGTCCTGCCGCCGGTTCAGGTCACATTGCACGCGATGCAGGAGAGCGATACAGAGGGTCCGGGTGGATCGTTTGTGGGTATAAAGATGTATGAGACGGCGCATGGGAAGACGGAGAATGAGACAAATGGGCCGTGGCAGGAGGCGGTGGAGCGTGATTGGTCAACTTGGTAGTAGTGAAGATATTTGATGGAAACGACCTCGAACCAAGTCGCTATTATCACGTCTTCCACTGGATATGTGAAGTAGCGTAATTACAAGACGTGGTTGTTAACACTCATATTTAGCTGGGTAAATGGAAACTACACCTCTCCCCAAATTAAGTGTAGCGATGTATACCATTCCCTTTGCTCCGCATACTCACTCCAAACCTTAATATCTCGTACAAAAAAAAGACTACAATCCTTACACACCCCCGCTACATTCAACAACAATCCCACGCAGAAAGCAAAGCTAAGTAGATATCCCAACGCAATACGCATAATCGGGCCAGAAATTCGTCGCGCAATCGTTCTGGACAGCAGGATTCCTGTAAACATCCGCCAATGACTTTAGCAAACTGACCAAAAAAGAAAAAGAAAAACACAATTTGAATAACTTTCGCAAGGCGGAACTTACGATTTGTAAAACGTATCGAGCCCAATACCGTAAAGTTGTGAAATAGTCCAGCACGTATCACCCGCTTTTTTTTTCCTTCATTAGCCAAATGCTGGTTATAAAAACGGTGGGAGTGAGACACCAAAGTGTCGTCGCAACAAGGGATGCACTTAAAACCGACAACGTACCATTTATTGCAACCGACAACTGTACCGGGGGGTGTGGGACCGGGGATTGCGGGCGCGGTGGATGTGGGAGGTGTGGGCGTGGGCTATCCGATTAGCGTCTTATCTTTCGTAAACCATTATAATAACACTTAGACGATTGTTATGAAATAAGACGATAGGTATGTATGTAACTTCTATGATATCATAGTACTATTGCTAAATTTCGAAAGCTTACTATGGGCCTTCAAGCCTTCTACAACCCTCGCTGACTTAGCGAAAAAGCCTTAGAACGAATCTAATAGCTGCATCCTCTAGAGGGGTGCGGATACAACGCTCTTGACGGACCCTGTTATAGATAGAGAGTCCCAGGAAGAAGACTACTAATACTTTAGTCGCATTGCCAGAAGGTCGTATCCTTGATAAGTTACTTGCGGAATCTCTAGAATATGGCATAGATATATCAGCGTCTTAAAAGTATACGAATCTTTATAAGGACCTATAACTACGTCCTAAAAAGTTGTATGTGTCTTTGTCTTTTTGTCCGCCGCTAATAGATACCCTGACTTCTATTGTACTAGCCTAAAGTATAGGTTATACTGACCTGGTGGGCGATGTTGCTTATATTGCGAATGTATCAAGCCAGGCCTCCTAAAATGTATTAGGCTTTATTCGGCAACGGGAGATGCTATTTTAATAAGCGCTGTTTAACTGTACTATGGATACACGAGTGCCAGGTCCAACATTGCGCTCTAATATAGCCGAGGAGGTTAAAGACCGCCTTAAATATCTTTTAGCTGCGCACGAGAAGGAACCTATGCATATTATTCTAGGTATTAGATTGGGGGTGAGTTTCTATTATTGCAATATTCATCTACGCTACCGCTATGGCATAAGCGGGGAGAAACTAAATAACCTGCTGTGGAGAAAACGTGGCTGAAACCGAGTAGAGCGAATCCTTGGGGGGATACCTAAGGGTTCTGGCAGGGCTATATATACTCTATCTCTGTGGCTGTCGCGCCTCCGGCCCGAGTAGTCTCCGACGGGTCCCCGAGGGCTGGCCTCTACTGTCTAGAGTATCGTGATACTTTCCTGCTAAGGTTTGTATATTGAAGACAGATATTAGATGAGTTAGCACTAAATACAATCGTGGCACACTCTAGTAATAGCTTACTAAGCGTGGCTCTATATAGATTCGCCGGCTTGCTACTGAAGAATAAGAGATTTCTTTTTACTAGCAAATTAAATTTCTTGACATTCTACTATATCTTTTGCTTCAAACACTCGTCTCAAAGGAATCTTTCTAACAATAGACATGAAGTGTAAGCTAAACCTACCTTTTATCTAAGTATATAAGTCTTAGTACTAAATTCTACTTTGGTAGTCTCTACTCTCTCCCTCGCTCTAAGCGCGTTCTCCCTTACAGCCGCTTATAACCCTAGGCACGTTGAGGCTGTTGAGCGTGTCGAGGCTGTTAAGCGTTCAGCGCCGCCGCATAGTGTTAATATCGTTAAGCGCTATAACTGTGTTAGATGCGTCTTTGGCTGTTCTATTGAACACCATTGTTGTCGTTGCGGCTACTGCAAGACCTTTCGTGGTAAGCATCCTTAGGTGTAGATTATTACGTTTGTAATCTCTAACTAGTATAACTAGAGGCTTGTGGTCAGGATTGATAATTCTATATTTAAATCCATCTAGAGGAACGCTAGTATCTACGAATCGAAGATCTGCAAGCCTTGTCGTTAAAAGATTGAGAGATAAACTTTCGATAGTGATCACAGGTATAACGAGAGAACCAAGAATTATTAACGGTATGCCTACCCGCTCAAGTTTAATGATCAGGGCGCAAGGACTCTACGTTCCTTTTGAGTGCATTGCCAATTGTGATGTTTATAAATAGGTTCCTTCTTTGTCTCTCAAGCTCAAAGTAAATGACATTTAGGAAAATGCAGAAGAATGACACTAAAATTAAGCTACAGGAATCTTGGACAACTACTAGCAAAGGACAATTGGAATAACGATCCAATCATGTGCGTAGAAGCGAAGTAACAAGTATCGAATGGGAGTTTTCGGTGTCTAATACTGTTGCGCTTAAATGTACATTGATTGAAATCATACTGTGAGTGGGAGACATGTTGTGGTGTAGTATCACATGACTTAACTTAGAATGTATATTCTGTTTTTTTCTTCGTACATAGATAGTTACCTTCTTTGATTAATTAATCCTTCCTTTAACTACATAGGGATTTCGAAGCACTCTGCTTGCCCATGGTGGCCCACCATGGTCTACTTGTCATCTTTTTTCTGGCACCGCCTTCTCTTGGCTACCACGACAACAGCCTCTCCCAGATATGGTCATCATCACAAAAATGCCCATAAGCATCAACGGGCAACCAATGATGCTACAATACAGGAGTCTATCTGTCTACCGATTCCAACAGCCTTTTACCATCAAGACGATGTAGTCGCCAAGACCAAGCCTACCGAGGGAGTATGTAAGCTTGATGATCATATCAACCCAAAGGCGCGAACTCCAGCGACGTACCCAAACGTTGGCTTTGAGCCCTCGGGCCTCAGTGCACGTCAAGCAGACGATCCCTACTCTTGCAATGAGAACAAACCCTGCAGCAACGGAGCTTATTGCGCCAAATCTGGATACTGTGGCTTTAGAGAGAAGTCTTGTGGAACAAATAGCTAGTCCCCTAACGATGTTTGCTGGAGTAATTGCGATGCTCATGCTGAGTGCGGCCGTAATTCGGATCCCCCTAATAAGGAATGTTTTCTAAACGTCTATTACAGTCAATTCAGATTATATAGCATAATAGATAAGTTTTGCAAGATTATTAATAAAGAGGAAACGAGCTGTCAGAGCAATTGCGAACAGCCTAATAGGGGTGTATCGGGCGGTAATATTCAAAAACGCATTATTAGATACTACGAGGCGTGGAACTGCCAGAAGAACTGCATTGGCATGAGAAGGCAAGACATTCCAGTCGGCAGTTTGACTCACATATACTACTCATTTGGGTACATCCGTCTAAGCACATACGATATTATTCCTATGGACGACGGCAAACCTCTCTCCACAGATACCTTTACTGAATTCGCTAGTCTCAAGCAAAAGAACCCAGGACCTAAAGTCTTCATTGCCCTAGGAGGCTGGACCTTTAATGAGAACAACACGATATGGCAGCCAGTATTTAGCGACTTATCCTTAATACCTACTAAACGAGCACTATTCATAGAAAAGCTCCTTACCTTCCTTAATTGTTACGGCTTCGATGGTGTAGACTTGGATTGGGAATATCCGGGAGCTCCCGACCGTGGTGGGAATCCTGATGACGGCGAAAATCTTACTGAACTTATGGAGGAGATGCGTGCCGAGTTTGACAAGTTAGGTGGCTCTTATAAAGGAATCTCTTTTACACGTCCTACTAGTTACTAGGTGAGTAAAGTCTGACAATCGCTCTATTTGGGAAAAGAGATACTGACTCTAAGGCTCATTGCTCAGTATATGCGACATTTTGACATCAAGGCTAGCTCAGAAGCTGCGGACTTTGTCAACGTTATGGCTTACGACTTGCACGGTGTTTGGGATGGTGAAAATCCTATCGGAGCCTAGGTTCTTGCGCACACGAACCTTACCGAGATTAGTAAAGCTCTAGACCTTCTATGGTGGAATTGCGTAGACCCTGAAAAGATCAATATAGGGCTCGGCTTGTATAGTTGGTTATTCTAGCTGGCAAATCCTGTATGTTCGCAGCCCGGCTGCCCCTTTAAGGGTGGTGCTTCTCCTGGCTTATATACTATGTAACAGTTCGGGAACTCTCTCTTATTCGGAGATTATAGATATTATTAAAGAGAACAACCTTACACCGTATTATAATAAAGGACACGGTGTTAAATATATCATATAGGGTGGTGATTAATAGGTGTCGTATGACGACTTCGAGACATTCTAGCAAAAGATTAAATATTTTAACGCCCTTAGTCTTGGCGGCATACTTATTTGGGCTATTGATTTAGACATAAAATACCTTAATGCCCTCGAGGCGGTTATATATCTTGAGCAGCTTGGAGCGAGAGCTGAGGAGGCAATTACAGCAGACAACTAGCAAGATGCTGGTGAAGGTCAATATAGAGTCACAGAATGTGGTGTTGGCGACTGTAAACTAGGTGAGGTTGCTGTTACATAAACCTAATGCGAGGACGAAGATTTCCTGGACAGGTCTTTCAGGATATCCACATTATGCTGTCCACTTGCATCAGCCCCCAAAGCAGAAGACTGGTAAGTTTCAACTTCGACATGTCCTTGAACATCAAACACTGACAACCTCTAGCGAATGGAGAGGCGGTGAGCCATGGTGTAATGGTCAATACCATTCCGACGAGGTAGCTCTACAATCATCTCTGTACGGTGACTGGGGTAAATGTATAGATAGTCGCAAATTCTATAGTTGTAAGGCAGAAGCACTAATTCCCGATTGTGGCTGGACTAACTGCGGTGGTTCCTGCCCTGACACTTATAATGAGATGATATGGGCGTACGATACGTGTAGTAAGAATTAGAAACGCAAACTCTGCTGCAACATAGAAGAAGGGTAGAAGAATTGCGCCTGGCACGGTAAGCCTGGCAACTGCTTTGATAACCACTGTGACACTGGCTGGCAAGTGGCCATAACTACCCTATATGAAAGAGGGTAAAGACTGCGGCTTTTGGCATTCTGAACGTCAACGGACGTACTGCTGCGATCCACCAGATGGAAAATCTCCATTCTTGCCAGTACTGCTCGACTTTCTCTTCAGCAATCCTCCGCCCGAGGCTGAAGCAGATACCGAATTTAACCTTAAGACAGATCTTACCTATGGTAAAAGTAACACTGTACTGTTCGCAGAGCAACCTGATAACGCACCCTTTGGCTTCGTTGTCCTAACGAATCTAGACGCCCAATAAGTATCCCTCGATAAGCGCGATGGCTCTCATTAGGAGGATTTCGATTATTTCGATTCAGTGTCTGAGGGGTAGCACACTGTGAGAATGATGTGCACTGATCGAAGCGAATCATCCAATTGCGAAAAGACATACCTAGGTTACTAAGCTCCTGGTACTATTGTCGAGATGCCCTCTAACTGCGGACCGGGCAAATATGCTGTGGTAAAGACGCTTAAGCTTAGCAAAGACCAGGGCTTGCCTCACCACCTAGTGAAGCGCGGCATGACAGTGGTCGATCCTATTTATGACCTGACATTCGACTATCAATTCAAGAGAGTCCCACGCGATCTTGGCAACACTCAAATGAGAATCGACTTCAGCAACGAACCAGAGTATTGGAACAACACCTTGAACAAGACTGCTAGTAGTAAGCGACGAAAGAGAAGCTTGGAAGAAGTAGGCGGCAATCACAAACGTTGGCTGGAGGAGAAATGGCGAGACGGTGCGCATTTTGGGGGCTTTCCAAAGAAGAACCCACAAGCGTTAGTTCGACAGTGACATTATTGACTGGCTTAAGGGTATCATCAATGGTGTCTCTAACGGATTAGACCTCAGCCACACGTACTCCGACGATTTCATTCTTAAGATTATTAACTAGCGACTAACTTGCCCTGATATCGCCGCTAAGTTAGAAGTAAAAGCAGAGCGTTATGTTAATGTTGACGTTAATTATAGCTTTACGCTTGTTACTATACTTAGTAATCCTAGCACCCTCATTAACCTTAGCGATTCATTCCTGTACTTCCGTACTAAAGGCGACGTAAATACTAAGTTCGTTATCAACGCAGCCGTTACTGCCATGTTTAATACTAGCGATATTATAATATTCTCTACTAACAAGTTCCGTGCAGCCTTCGTAGTACCCAGCATCATCACTATTAGCCTAAATTTTAAGCTCTTCGGAAGACTCAAAGGTCAGGCGATATTAGGGGTTAACTTTAAAAGCAAAGTTAAGCTGGTATCATGGGATGTTAGGCAGACCTATCTAGTCGCAAATGACGAATAGGATCCTAAAGCATCCAAAACCCTAGATAAGAAAGGCACGCAGAACCTGCTTAAGCCTTAGTTCGATTATAGCCTTACGCTTAAGGGCTACCTTACTATTTATGTTAAGCTAACTATAATATTTAGCATTAATTTTAATAAAGACTTTATTCTAATTAACAGCTATGCTGTTAATCTTATAGCTAACGGCTATATTACCTTCTACGTAGATTTAAAGGTAAATAGCGAGTCTTCGTTCTGCTACGGCGTGGATGCTAGAGTTGATCTCTATGTGACTATTGACGCTCCATCCGAGTTCAGCTGGGCCCTTCCCAACTCACCCTTTCCTATTGTGCCTATCGACGATGTTCAACTCTATCCTACTGGTGGCGAGCCAGCATGTATCGATCTCTCTAAGAAGCGAGATTCCGAGCATGATTCAAGCAATATGCAAACTGCGCATGCTTCTAGAAGACGTTCATCAATAACGCAGGGCAAGAGCAGGAACACCACGAGCGAACTTGCGAAGAGGGCTAAAGTCTATGGTCCTTTAGTGCCTTGATTGGAAGGACTAAACTGCCCAGGGGCTATTGACGTCGGTGATATTCCTCCATGTCTGTTGTGTGGCGATGATGATGGTGAGAGTCTCGAAAAGCGTGCTGACTCCTGTTGGCTTGATCCTTACGGCAAGGGAGCAAGTTGTCCTATTGATACTCCTGACAAGCGCGACATTCAGTTCGGTGAAATTTTTGGGAACGAAACTGAATCGCATCATCTGGAAAAGCGCGACACAAAATATGTCGGTTGGGGGGGGCCAGTTCCTTCCTTGCGGAACCTACAAGTCTTGCGGCGCGGCAAGTAAACAAAGCAGCGTGAATAAGTGGTTCGGCTTCAGAAGCAACACTGGTCCATATCCAGTGACAGTAAAGAAACTTACTTCTGCCCAGACAGACACCTCGCAATACGTCAGTAAGTTTCCCTCTCTCTAGCATCATGCACATCCGGTGGCTAAAACATCATTGTACTGACTTCTATAAGCTGGGCATATTTACGAGGTACAAATGTTGCCAATCTTCTTTGAATGGTTTATCAATGGGCCACTTCCTGGTAGCTACACAAGTCCTTTACGGGCTTGGATGGATAATGTCCTCATCGGAATGAATCCGGCAGTAGTAGCTCCGCACGCCGCCAATGGATGGGTTGAGCAATCCCTTTTCTTCAAAATGACCCACGGCCTAGGGGGACGACCACAACCCTGGTGGTCTCGCACTGGCCGATAAGGGTATGAACGGTAGAAAAGAGCATCTATTCGCTGGCAACACTATTGCATCCGACATCGAAAATAACAACCTCAACACACGAAAGATGCACCGAAACACAGCTGCGGTATTCTCGTATATGCGCAACAGCTGGATTTGGCCCAAATTCGTCGATTCATCGCAGTACATGGAACAGACGTTACGCGAGTTCGATACTAGCTTCAGTTGGAACGGCAACGGAGCTGGGAACAATGGACAGCTAGGTAGACCGTAGCGCGGTACCGGCGACCCCATGGCAGGGCGGCGCGATCTATACTGCTACTGGATTGACAAGCATCTGACTGAAATTGAGGGCACTGCTGCTATATGGCTCCAGGCTGCAGAGGCCTAGTTCAGAGCATCATCCTTTGGCAGTGACGAAGCGGGAATCAAGTGGTTGCAAAACGTTATGACCCCTCGAGGGCCAATATCAGCTCGGAATCTGGTGTTTCTCCATAGCAACCAGGTTCCCCATAGATTCAACCCGGCAAGTCCAAACCCAGTGAGATGGTTGCTGAGCAATTTCGAAGATTTGTGGATGACTAGGCCAGGCTATGGGGCAGCTGAGCCGTTTTAAGTATGTAAGATTTTCTTTTGTTGAGAGGCAGAATATTACTGTGCAAGGGTGAAACCGAATTTCTCATGTAAGTATCTTAGAGTTTCGAACCTGGGGGAAGTCCCCCTTGTTCCTTCAAAGATCTCTCTACCCCTATGGATCCGTATATGCTACAGGCCATGTGCAATGCCCAACAAATCTTTAGTGACTGTCAGATCTCACTTTCTCTTTCTCGTTTTTCTTTCCTTCATGGTCCAAAGTGGATGAGCTAGCAACCTAACAAGAGCGACCATGCCATACAGCACTGGCTGAGCTTACGCTAAAAGCGTCTCCATCTCCATGGACTCTTGATTGACATTGTTACAACACCAGCTAGCAGCTTGTGATTCTGAGCGTCGGTTTCACAAGCTTGTGCAATAGCCAGATAACCCAAATCACAAAAGCAGCACAGCAAAGTTTCACAGGTAGTGTATTTTTCATGATCAGTGGAATATTTATGAGTGAGAGACAAAAATACAAGATCTGAGCCAAGGCACTACGTATACCCAGGTAGCTGAGGCCTATCGACTCCGTAACACAGAGCCATCGCAAAAAAGGAACAGCAAGTAACTACGTATTGGTTTCATTCTTATAGTTGCAAATGGAAATACATGGCTCATTCTTCGGATCAAGGTTTCTGTTCGATGTTCTAGGAGGAACCTTTGATCTCATCAAGTCAGCAGGGATAATGACGGTAGTCGAAATTTCTCCAGTACATGATCCTTTTCTGCCATCAACTAACATTTGTATGCACGAAAGACATCATTCTTTTTTGTTTCTCCAATTTCACATCTAAAAATAACTTCTCCACAACTTCGTGCACGAGAGGCGCCGAATGTCCGACCCGGAGATTTGTCCCGAGATATGAAGTCAACCTCTGGGCCTTACACAGCATTGACTAATACACTGGACTGGGTTAGGGCTGGTGAGACTTACTTACTGTGCAAGCCCTCGTACGATTAACTGGCGACTCTGATGGAAAGGAGTTACGCAAAGCAGACAAAAGATAAGCATAGATCATAGATATTGCAGCGAACACGAACAGCATAGGATCAATATAGTCCACGCATTGGTCTCTACCCTTTACGCAGTCAGATCCCGACTCCCCACCCGAGACCTGTCATCTCTCAATACGTGCCGTCGCAAATTCCACGGTACTTGAATGAAAGCAAGGTCGTTTTTAATTTGCCATCTGGAAGCAGCGGAGAAGACATGAGACAGATGCAATAAGACCTAACCCACAAAGTTCCCACAAGCCGTTCCGTGCACTCGGTAATCGGACCGTAAGATATCGATTGTGGGCGTGTTTCAACTTAATTCCACGATACGTACCCGATTGTGGCCAGAAGATGACGAGTAATCGGCGGTAAACATGAAACGACTAGCTACTGCATTGCAGGGGCTTGCGCCCCCACATCTCGCTTCTAGACCCCAAGCATTCCCGTCCTGGTAATCACCAAGAGACCAAGGAGCACATCGTGAATTGTTTATAAAGCCAAGCGAATAATCAAGCTTTCTCTCCAGTCTTGGTTGTTTCATTCGCCCACTCTTTCATTCATTCGACACTTATCCTAGTCATTCATTCTTTTCTATTTTCCCCACAAGTACACCATCTTTCCAAAAATGGTTCGATTCACTTCTACCTACACTGCAGCCATCTTGGCTCTGGCGTCCTTTGCTGCGGCTCGTCCTGCAGAGTGTCATGCTAAGGGCGCAGGCGCTCACAACAAGTCACCTTCTCCTGCAGCCTCCTCGCCTGTTGCTACTGTTGCGTCCGTTCCTGACACGGATGCTACCCCCATTCCTGACTACACTCCCGCTCCTGACAACACTCCTGCTCCGGACAACACTACTGCTCCGGACAACACTCCTGCTCCGGACAACACCCCCGCTCCGGACAACACTCCTACCGCTGTTATCATCCCGTCTCCTACTAGCACTCTCGCTATCGTCCCGTCTCCTACTGCCACATCGGCTTATTCACAGGTTTTCAAAGGAGACCTCACTTGGTATGGAGAGAGCTGCGGAGAAGAATCATGCTGGCAAGGCGGAGCCTGCGCCTTCGTCGACTATGTCCTCCCCGCCACAATTGACGGCTCAACCTGCGTCTCCGAAGTGATCTGGAACAGCTCCTACCACTGCGGTGCCTGCGTCGAGATCGACTACCAGGGCACCAAGAAGATCGCTATGGTGAGAGACTCCCCTTCCAAAAAAAACCCCCGCTGAGGATAACACACTAACAACACAAACAGATCACCAATAAGACTGGAGGTGATTCCGTCCACCTGGATCTCTCACCTGACATGTTCTCCAAGCTCGACAACAAGAACAAGGGCATGATCCACTCGGACTGGAAGTACGTCGAGTGCCCCATCGCCGATCCCCTCCAGATCCGCATGCACGGTGGTTCATCCAAGTACTGGTTCGCCGCTACCGTCATGAACGCCAAGCTCCACACTGCGTCGCTCGAGGTCTCTGGCGATAACGGAAACACCTGGAAGCCCACTACTCGTAACATCAACAACTTCTTCACCCTCGTTGGAAACGGCGGTACTGGCACTGACACTGCCTGGGTCAGGCTCACTTCTGACCTCGGCTCTCAGGTCATTGTCAAGGATGTCCAGTTGGTTTCTGGAAAGACTACCAAGGCCACTACCAACTACCAGTAGAAAGGAAATCTCAAACCCTTTTTCCTTCGCAGGTACTCCAGCGAAGCTGTGTAGTATGGCTCAGTTCTGGCGACGATGAGAACACACTCTCCTTTTCTTTTTTTTACTTTCTTCATCGAAAAATTCGATTAGTTTATGTATTATATTTAGAACTCAAAATTACCATTTTTCCAGATAAAAGAAGGTTCTCCCTGACTGTGACGGTCATCTTGCTTGTAAACATGTGATGAGCGTCCAGTTAACTATTGGGGGCCATGAACTTGAAACTGACGACTACAACCGTCGTAGATGGAGTATACATATGATGCAAGGTTTCTTTTTTTGTTGGTGATACAAGATGCAAGTCCAATTTTGTAGATGCGGCGGCAACATGTTGACTCTTGAAGTTCAGGTGTCACTCTTGTTGCAAATCTTTAGTTGCGAATGGGTCTCGGGCATGGATACCAGAATGGTCACAAGACTATTTCAAGCTTTCCAGAAGATATGTCTATCGTATCAGCACAGAAAAGGTCAACTTGTAATTATACAGATTGCATTCATCTACCTCGCTGAAAATGCCATGATGAGTTGCTCCCTAAAATTTGGTGATGATGGAAATTAGTTAACGCCCAACGCCTAAAAAAGATGCGAATTTTGGAGATGAAAAGTTGCTGCGCCTCAAATGTATCTGGATTGCGTCTCGATTCCTGATCTATCCGCTTTCAAATTTAGCAGTAATCAAACATGCTTGCGCAACTTTGCTCCTGTCCATAACACTGGGGCAAAATGGGTTGACATGTTGAAACCAAAAAGAGATGCAAACCAGAGTATAGCCATGACGGCAACTGGTACTAGTAACAACTCTGTGTGGTGTAGGAAGGGCAGCTCTTTATAGCCCAGGAAGGTAATGATGAAGTAGTAGTTCAATGCGAGTAGATAGAGCGTATTGGATAGGAGGAGTGAGAACCTGAGGTATGTCAGCGTCAGCTTTCTCGCATAGTGATGGGCGTCTTACCAGTGCTGCGTTCCTACTAGAGGCATACAGATAAACTGCACAACGTAGAGAAAGACCCAAACTGGTACGAAAGCCCTAATGGCCACATCCCAGCAGTAGCCAAACTCCAGCTCTTCCTTGCCAGAGTCTTCGCCAAGGTTGTATAGGCCTCTTCGTCGGCCTGGCAGCAGTGTATTGTCTGGGCCCAGTAATCGGCCTACAAGGAAGAAGAATAGAGTGGCTACGACAAGCGAGAGCAGCAAGAAGTGCCCAAAAATAAAAACGAGCATTATGTGGAGGGTCTGTGTGAAACCATCGGCGTATGCGAAACCCCAGGCGAGGGAGGTGAGAGTAAGGAAGAAGGAGAGCAGATATGTGAAGGATGGGTCGGGTCGGTGGTATGTCTTTGTTGTTTGTTTCTACAGAGCCATCAGCGGTGCATCGGAGATGTAGGGGCATATATTGTAGCATACGTGGTAGAATATCTGGCGAAACACCTTCTTGGGCGCTATTATCAGGCTCATAATCTCCCATGCGGCCATCTCAAAGTCCATCTGAGGGAACTTGAACATGCGCTTGAAGAAGCGCGGCATCTTGATTTCGTTGCGCCGCGAAGAGGGCATTGAGCCAAAGTTGGAGGGCCCGCCCGTGGGCCGTGGGAGGGATATATGCGGGTTCATGCTGGGTTATGTGAAGGTGAAAGGCGCAGTGGAGGCAGCGGCTGGGCGTGTGAGTGCGGCGGTAG